TGAGGCCCTGGGTTTGATTCCTCAGCACCACATAAGCAAAAAGAAAAAAGCCGGAAGTGGCACTGTGGCTCAAGTGGTAGAGCGCTAGCCTTGAGCTGAAAAGCTAAGGGACAGCCCCCAGGCCCAGAGTTCAGGCCCCACGACCGGACCCCCCCAAAAAAAAAGTTTAGGAGCTTAAAACATAATAATTGAGTGACTTAAAAAGCACCATTCTGTGGACCATGAAATCAGGAGTAGAATAGTTAGGTGGTTCTGGCTCAGGATCTTATAAAGTTACATCCAAGTTTTCTATGAGGGTTACAGTCCTGGAAAAACTTATGTATGATGAAGGGAAGCTTATTCAACATGGTTCATCCACATGGCCAATGCTTGACATTGATGGGTGACTTAGTTTCTCATCAGGAAAACCTTCTATAGGGCTGAGTTTCTTTCCCCCAGAACAAGTGATCCAAGAGGACAAAGATGACACCACAATATCTTTCATGACCTATTCTCAGAAATAACACTATGTCTTGGTTCATTTCAGCTACTATAACTACAAAGAAGAGATTTATCACTCACAGTTCTAGAAGTTTAGAAAGTCAAAATTTGAAAAGTCAAGATTAAGCTGGGCGCCAGTGGCTCACGCCTGTAATCCTAGGTACTCAGGAGACTGAGATCTGAGGATCGTGGTTCAAAGCCAGCCTGGGTAGGAAAGTCCGAGAGACTTTTATGTCCGATAAAAACCACTAGGAAAGAAGTATCGCTGTGGCTCAAGCAGTAGAGCACTTGCCTGAGCTGAAGAGCGCAGGGACAGCACCGGAGCCCAGAGTTCAAGCCCTACAACTTACCAAAAAAAATAAAAAAGGAAAGGTCAAGTTTAGACAGATCAATACCCCAGCAGATCTCTGTCACTTTCTTGCATCTTTATATAGAAAAGCAAACAAGCTTCTTTAGACCTCTTTTATAAGGGCAACAATCTCACAAGGGCTCTACTCTCATGACCTAAACATCTCCCATAGGGAAGTATTCAAGGATATGAATATGAGAAGGTCAGAATCATTAATTGCCATCTTGGAGGATGACTACCATTTCACAACATACAATGACGTTTGTATTTTTTCAAATATCTTTATTTTCTCAGAGTTGTCTTATTTTTGTAGCTAAATGCATTAGGGTCCAATAGAGGATCTGATTACCTTACCAACCTCTGCAAAAAAAAATCTATATACATGCATACACACGCACACACACACGAATAAAAGAAACTACTTCTACAGGAAGTAGTTAAAGTTTATTTATACAACTTTACAGATCCAGGCTTTCAAATCACAGGGAAAAGTCTCAAATCTCCCATTCTTTGAGATGCCAAAGATCTGATCTCAGTATTGTCTCACAGCTCCAAACTTCCCAACCAACTTTCTATCCCACCTGCCTATGTAGTTTCACATCTCTTTCTTTGTCTTCTCCCTATGTCCAGGCCCCTAGCTTGTCTTCTGTTAAGATTTCCAGGCCCTGTCAGATTCTACTGCATCCTTAAAAAGAAAGGATGTAATGCTTAAAAAAAAAGGCTATGCCAATCTTTGAGATTCTTACCTCTAACCAGCCAAAAGCTGGAAGTGGAGGTATGGCCAAAACACATGAGAGTACAAGGTCCTGAGTTGAAGCCTCAGTTCCTGCACATACACACACTCAAAATAAAGAGAAAGAAAGGCTATGCTCGTTTAAACTGCAAGAAGAGAAATAGTGTCAAAAATTATGGAAGTGACCTTAGTGGTCAGATGGCTATAAGAGAGCCCAGCACCATATCCTGGTAGAACACTAAAAGAGATCTAGACAAACAAAGATCGGGAAAGAAGAGACTAACTGGAGCAGTCAAATATATGAAACATCCTTTACTCCAGGACCATTTTGAGGGGGAAGAGAGGACTCCTGGGAGTTTGGCTTTAATCTTCAAAAAGGGCTTATTTTGTAGTATATCTAGGGGACAGAGCTATACCCAGTAGATGAAAATTATAGACATGCAGGAAGTTCTTCCTTAACATGCTTTGTCAGAACTTTTCAAAAATTCTCAAAGGTGCTGGGAGTTTTCTATCAGGAAGAAGTTTATTGAACCCATGAGGGAATCATTGTTGAAGAATGATAGATCTAAGACAGAACATTAAGCTAAATAGTCCCTGCTATTAGTACCATTTTCTCTATATCAAGAATCCAGTCTACCCTGTTTAGGTGGTACCAACACTGACTTCTTTCTCAAGCATAATTCTTATCAGAGTAAAAGACACATGTTAAAACTAATTCCCTTTAAAATATGGACAGTTGCCCATCTCCATTATTAGTAAATTCGCATTGAGCTCATGCTTTTTTTTTTTTTTTTTGGTCAGTTCTGGGGGTTGAACTCTGGATCTGGATGCTGTCCCTAAGCTCAAGGCTAGCACTCTACCACTTGAGCCACAGCACCACTTCCGGCTTTCTGAGTGGTTTATTGGAGGTAAGAGTCTCACAGACTTTCCTGCCTGGGCTGTCTTTGAACCATGATCCTCAGATCTCAGCCTCCTTATTAGCTAGGATTACAGGCATGAGCCACTGGCACCCAGCAAACTCATGCCTTTTAATGGAAGATCACCAACTTCCTATGCTATAATGGGATCCTAAGTGGATGTTGGACAAATAACTGCCTCCCATATAAACTTGAATACCCTTCTACTTGTATAGCCTTCTGCATAGTGTTTAAAGACAAATTTAATTCATTTCATTCTTAAGGAAACTATGAACAAACAGTATTATTTCCAACTTTGCAGAGAAGGGCACTAAGGAAGAAAGAAATAACAGTGCAGGACACCATAATTAGTTGATAATAAAGCTAAGACTGCTTTCATTCGTTGTTTTCATTACCATTAGTTGTCTTTCTAACTTAGCTTCTTTCTAAAGTAAAAAAACAAAGTGTGTGTGTGTGTGTGTATAAAGGCAGTGTATAAAGGTAGGGGTATACAAGAGCTAGAGAGAGAAACAGATAAACAGACTAAGAAGAGAGAAGCTGAGAGAGATTTAGACAAGTAAAGGGCTAGTTTCTATATTTATCATATATTTGAATGCCTTTAACAGTGGAGACAATTTTGACAGAAATAGAAATGTTGCCCTGTCCCTCAAGTAAATATCCATATACTGGTTTTATGTTATAACGAGGTCACCTAGGTTTATTGTTGTCGTTTTGAGTTCCCCCAACAACAGAGTATATTTAAAACATCCTGTTGGGATGAGATTGGCAGGCAGTGTGACCATATATGGAGGTATAACAATGAAATCCCCTCTGTGCAGCTAATATTAAGCTAAAAGAATTCAATGAAATGAAAAGCACCCTGAAGCTTCCTTCTCTCTTTCCTTTACCCTGCCTTTAACTGAGAAGTTTTACAAATGCATGAGACACAGACGTTGGGTACTCAGACACCATATAGTGCATTCCCCTTGTTTGACAGAAGAACTCCCAGTGTCAGCACACAATTAAAAGCATAGGAAAGTGATGTTACACTTCAGCAATAATCTTCTTACAGAATTCTCCCTTATCCAAGGGAGAATTAGTCGACTTGACTAACATGTAACCAAGATCGTTTTTGCTTTTGAAGACCTGATTTGGTATTGACCAAATCATAGCATCTTATATAGAAGTCTTCAGGATTACACTAATGTCTCCTACAGGAGGTGGCTTCCTTCCTCACCACCACCTGCCAGGAGGATTACCAGTGTCTGTTCAAAGAAGGCCCCAGGTATTAAGATGATCAGTCACTAGGTGGATAACACA